CTCCCAACAGGCACTGAGGGGAATGTAGGGTTGCCAGCTCTAAGGAGGGAAATACCTGGAGGTTTGGGGGGTGGATTCTGTAGAGGGCAGCATTGGGCGGGGGGGGGCGGAAGGACTCAGCAGGTATAATGTCATAGGGTCTACCCTCCTAAAGCAGTCATTTTCTCTAGGGGAACTGATCTCTGTCATCTGGAGATCAATTGTAGCAGTGGGAGATCTCCAGGTCACACCTGGAGATTGGCAACCCTAGGGGAAAGTCAGCTGCACAGCAGGGGGTTGAAGAGAATGGTTTGATGGCTGCTGGGCGAAGATTGGCAACAATAGTTCCCCAGGAGCCCCATCGTAAATGCACCAAACAATTCCTCAAGATTTTCCAAAACACTACTCTGTTTTGGGCTCCTGGGGAACTTTGAAGTAGCACCAAAGCTTTAAGATCTCTCCAGCTGTCACCTGGAGACTGGCAACAGCTTGTCTGGAGTGTGGGCAGCATGGCATTGTATCTGTTTGAGGTCCCCCTCTTCCTCCTCCTCCTCAGATCCCACCCTCAGCAGGCTTCATCCCTAAAATATCCTGGAAGTTTCCAACCTGGAGTTGGCAACCCTATGTCCTGGAGTTCGAACCTGGAGTTGGCAACCATCAGCCAACGTTTATCTGCCTGTCTGTCTTTACAAAACCCCCCCCCACACACACACACACAGCCTCTGCCTAGGGAGCAGCTGACATCATTCTCCTCTCCCAACTGAAAATTCCAACTGCCTTGCGTGGGGGGTGAGTTTGAGGTGTGGAGTGTAGTCCAATCAGCTTCCGTATGTAAATGACCTTGGAACGCTAGCCGGGACTGCACAAAGCAGCCAATGAACCCAGCCAGTGTCTTCCGAGTGGCAGTTTTTTCGGCCTAACACTAAAGGGGCCAATTTTAGAATTCTGGCACCCAAAACTCTTTTATAATAAGGGAGAGATACTGCCATGATATGTTCACTGAAGTTTAGGTTATCACCATTTCTAAGTCACCCTGCACTGAAGCTTAAGGCTATACTTTTAAATACAAGTTCTGTAGCACAAGATAGTTTAAGAATCACTGCCTTTCATGCAGGCGTGTGTCACAATGTTCTTCTTTCCTTCCACCATAACAGTTTGAAATAATGCTATTGTAACAAGGACGCTGTACAGATGTGCCAGCCGTATCTTGAGCCATTCAAAAGCAGTTGACTTTACTACGGGGAGTCCATGCTGCTCTTATCTGTTGCTCAAGTAAAATACACCTAGAAGCATGACGCTTGTTGTGTACCCAAAAGGTTAATGCTTTCAGAAATATGGGGGGGGGTACTTGTAATTTGGAAATAACCCAGAGACTTGATGATTTTAGCTCGTTTAATTTATTAGATGTCAGTGCTGATGTAACATTTGCATATTCTGTTTATAGGGAGCCAATCAGAAGATACCTGCAAGCATGCTTCCTCCCGATTCCACAACTAATTTCTTCCTTCCTCCCTACTTTCTATTGTCAGCATTAAGCATGGTTCAGTTTCATATCCATTGATGTTGATCACAACTTAAAATAAACATGCTTCCCTCATATATCAGAATTCGAAATCTCTGGTTTCAGGTGGTTACCAGAGAATCTGACCAACCCTAACTAACTGTGGCTAACATCATTGCCTTATGTGATTAAATTAAACTAGGGAATGAGAAGCAGGATATAGGAGGAGGAAAGGGAAGGCTGTTTGTCTAGTCATTAATTTCAAGGAGTCCTTATTATGCCTAAGTGGGAGACCAAAGTGGGAGGTATCTGAGAGGCAACAGTAGCCCCATGCTCTTCTGTTACCTCACCCCATAAGTGCTTTCCTCCCCACAGTGCCATTGCCACTTTCCTATTTTAGTTGTATGCCACCTTATTCCAAAGTGATACTCATTTAATAAACAAAAAAGTCAATTATATAAGGCACAATTGTTCCTCAGTTTCTGATAAATGAGGCCCTTTTCTTAGCAAGCTTCTGCCCAAGAGAACCTCCCTTAAAACCCTATTGTGTTTGCTTTTCAAAAGCAACTAGCGATCATTCCTTGCCTTCAGAATGCTCTGCCTGTATAAGACTCACTCTGATCTGTAACTGAGAAACCTGCAGACACAATAAGAAGATTGTTTGTGGGATACGTTTGTGACAGTGTTGAAAGCATGTTCTGCAGCCTTGTACCAGAGCCTTTCATGGGCAGACAAGTCAGTGCTCTTAGGAACTGGTGATAGTGCATGCAGTTTGTTTACTTTGGTTTGCTGTGTCTGCCTGCCTTTTCTTTCTCCCCTGAAAACTTGTATAGAGCCAGACTGTAGCAGCCCTCTCTCTGTCTTTTCATAATTGATCAGGGGATGACTGCTTTCCCTGAGGGTTAAGACGTGGCAACTTTTTCTGTTTGCTCAGCATCTCAATGCAGAAGTTCAAACATTGTTCACACCAGCTGGCAGTGTAATGCCAGATGCACATCTTGTCAAAGCAACTGTTGTCATGGATACTGGAAACTACCTTAAAAATGAGCTCATTTGAGTCTAATCAAAATTGTACCTTTCTCTATCAGATTGGTGGCAATTTTGGGGTGAATGCCAATCAAAAAAATGTTTCCTGGTATGGATCAGCCTCTCACAGTGCTTGTACTCTGTGTTTGTGTTTACAGAGTACAGTGTTGAAACTCACAGACAAGAAAAACTTAATTAAGAATGTTACATAGGGTTGTTTTTTTTTAGGGGGGGTCCTTTTAAAAACTTTGCTTTGTATTACTAGTTCCCCTTGTATAGACTATGTTTTAAAGTGAACATATTCTTAGCAACTGGCCTCACACATACAGTTCTAGGACATGGTTGTATTTTCAACTAAAAAGATGATTAAAAATGCTATATTTTGATTGCAGTGCTATCATCCACAGGAGCAAACCTGATTGGCTAAGTAGTGATTTCTTTGTTCTCAGAGTTTACTAAGAATGCAAATGAAAGCCACTTAATTTTATTTGGCATTAAAACTCCACTTTATTTTGTCAAACGAGAGGTTTCCCTGTGAATTGTAAGTACCAAAAAAGTGTTTTTAATCTTCAGTGAATATCCTTATTAATTCATTTTTCAAGATAATCTGATGTTGATTTGTCAAATTTAATTACAGCTTCCGGTAACACTTGAAGTCTATTTCTTTTGCTTAAAAATTGTAATATGAACATGCAAATTGGATGATGATTTACAAGGGTGTGAGCATTTTAGCTGAACACTTAAAGACAAGTTCCTTGTGGAGATGAGGCTATTGATGCAGTTTATGATTTTTCCTCTTCAAGCACTTTATACAAATTAATGCTATTTCCTTGAGGATTTGTTGCACATATATACTTTTTCATGAACTCTGCCATAAGTAGCTTCTGTGGATTTTTCTGAGTTTAAAGAATATGTGAAGTCTCATGCCTTCATTGTGAATCGTTGGAGATCAGTTTTTGCTTGAACATTAACATTAGGTAAGTTACAAGAAATAACATTTTCAATGAAACAATTCAAAAAAATCCTTTTCATATTGTCTTTACTTTCAGGCATTGCAGGCAGCAAGACAGCTGCTTTTACAGCAACAGACAAGTGGGCTGAAGTCTCCTAAAAACAGTGATAAACAGAGACCACTGCAGGTCAGTAAAGCATCTTTATATCTAATGCCTGAAGATGGTTGCTCAGGCAACCCTAAATGTATGTATAATAGACTTCGGAACCTCTTGCATATTTTTTTGTTTGTTTGTTTGTTTTTGCAAAATGCCTTGGCTTGTGTCTCCATACCCTGTGTGTGTTTGTTTTAAGGAAACCACTATACAAGAAGAAGAAGCTCTTGTGTATTAGTTTATCGTGGCTTAAAAGGTCACACAGACTTAAGAACAGCAACCTTGGCTCCCATAGCTGCAATGCAAAGAATCTTTCTATGGGTAACTAGAGAAGTTTGTACACATTCTTCAATCTAAACGAATTAGAGCCCAGTGACAAATTTCCAGCGACTCAAAAGCTTCCCGAACAATTAACCAAATTTGCAAAGCACAGCCCCTACTGCTTTTAGAACAAGGTATATTACTGTATTGGGGTTTTTAAAAAATCTATATATACCTGTACGTAGTGTAGGGTATTGGAAAAGAATGCTTTCATCATGTACTTTAAGCTATTTTTCATCATATTTAATGGACAAATATGCACAATTTATAAATGTGGCATCTTGTTAATCCAATGTGGAGATGGCTGGGGCGGGTAACTTCTTCATGCTAACAGGAAAGATGGGCACTAGTAACAAGATCTAGTGTTGATCTGTTTTGTATATTTGTCCTTTATAGGTCTGTATAGCTGAAAATTAGAATAATGTGCCCTTCGCTATACAGGGGAATATAATCTATACTTTTATTCTGATTTTAAGTATATGAAAGATTCCCCCCCCCCCGACATGATATCACAGTTTCCAAACTGAAGTGATTTCTGGATTTTATTTTCTTAATCAAAATGTCACATTTCTTACCTATAAGCTATCAAAAACTGCCTTTGTGGGGCAGTCCTTGATGTAGGGGATGGGACAGAGGGAGTTGCAATGGCAGTTAGCCAAGATCTGTGCCACAAGTACCACACTCCTCACAATTTTTGAATCCAAGCCTAGCATTTGTGCAGGGATTCTTTCATTCATTGTATGCTCGCGCTTCAGCACCATTTATATCTTGGCTGAGCTTCCTCCTCCCTGAACTATCCCACCCAGGTATTAAACAGATTGTGACACAGTGTTCCTTAGGCAGATTTGACTGCACAATAATGCTTCTGAGGGGGAGGGAATGGCATCAAGGTGCTATTAAACTCTTATTGGGCACACACAGTTTGCTGCTGTGCTCACATATGCCCCTCACTTCTCCTATTTCAAATCTCAGTTTAGAGTCATGGGTCAAGTAAACAAATTTACATTCACCAAGGAGCTTGCCTTGGGACATCATGGTGAATGGGAGTTTGAGCAAGCTGGGAATTGTTCAAAGACTGCACACTAAAGGAATATGGAGGTAGGAGGAGCAAGTAGCATGTCTGAGGACGCAGTGAACTTTATGTGTGCCTAGTTGGAGTTTAATTGCAGCTCGTAACATCTAAATGCAGCCAATGTAAATTAGTAAGTGAACATTTTTGTAATGAATGCTGGGAAATTACTAGGAAAAAAAGAGACAGGAATTTTTTGTATGGCTGAAAACGGAGCATTTTTAGCTCAGGAGAGCGTTACAGTTCTGTGGATAGGCGTTTTGAAGCAGGGACTCAAGCCTCCCATTGCTGTAATGAAGCTGTGAACATTCAGAAGCTTTGTCTCTGATTATGGGGTTTATTCACTGATCACTGTTTTTTTTGTGGAGTTGTACACTTTCTACTGGAAATGGTAGACTTGCTTTTTCAGGTTGAAGCAAATGAGCAGAGCTTCTGTTTTTGCTAAATTTGTACATGCATGACTCAATAAATTATAACTTTTTGAACTGGTCCTTAATCACAACCTCTTATTCATCCCTTGAACAAATAAAGGGAAAATTGAAGTTCGGACAGCATGTTCATGTCTGGATTTACCATAGGGTTGCCAAATCCAAATCCGGAAATATCTGAGAACTTTGGGGGTGGAGCCAGGAGACTTTGGGGGTGGAGCCAGGAGATTTTTGTGACGTCACTTCCTGTGACGTCACTTCCAGGTCAAATGGCAAGTGATGTCACTTCCCCTTCCGATGATGTCACTTCCCGTACACTGCACCAAAACCCCACCTAGCTAAGCATCATACCAGCAACTACCTCCTTAAAACCATTTCTCCGAAATGAACTTACTTGGAAGCCTGAGGCAACTCTAACTTCTTTCTATATAGGATTTATATATATCTAACAGCACCACTTGTATCAAAGCTGTCAAAATAAACAAAAAAACCTGTTTAATATTTGCTTCTCATAATTTCTGCCTCCTGTGTTTGCATATGTTGGTGGTGTGTATTTCAAGTGGGCTCCCTGTCAAATTTCATATCATATCAATACACTGCATCAATCCTTTCCATCATGCAGGGGTCAGGCCAGGGTATGTGGACTCTGATATGACCACGTTGGGCACTTCTTATGATTTTAAATAAGACTGATTTTGCAAATTCCCTTAACAGAAGTTAGTTACGCTTTGGCTGATACAAGACCCTGAGGTGTTCTTGCTCTGTAAATTTAATGTGTCAGTAGGCCATAAGGGTTCTACTGCGCTTGTTTGTTTTTAAATATGCAAGCCTATGCCTGAGCTACAGGATGTTCCATAAAAGCATTAGACTAATCAAAGTCATCCAAAATCTCACCACTATGAAAGAGAACAAGATCAACTTTGGAACTGCTCTTCTACATGCTACATCCCCAAGTCTTGAGAACATAAGAGACACCAATAATGGTGGATCAGGCCAAAGGCCCATCCAGCCCAATACTCTGTATCACACAGTGGCCAGAAATACCAGTGCCATCAGGAGGTCCACCAGTGGGGCCAGGACATTAGAAGCCCTCCCACTGTTGACCCCCCCCAGCACCAAAATGACAAAGCATCACTTGCCCCAGAGTCCCTATCTATACCTTGTGGCTAATAGCCACTGATGGACCTCTGCTCCATATGCTTATCTAATTCCCTTTTGAAGCCGTCCATGCTTGTAGCCGCCACCACCTCCTGTGGCAGTGAATTCCATGTGTTAATCACTCTTTGGGTGAAGAAGTACTTCCTTTTATCTGTTCTAACCTGACCACTCAGCAATTTCATGGAGTGCCCACGAGTTCTTGTATTGTGAGAAAGGGAGAAAAGTACCTCTTTCTCTACCTGCTCTTTCCCATGCATAATCTTATAAACATCAATCATGTCACCCCTCGGTCATCGTTTCT